GAGTGCGCTGTGAAAAATCCAATGAAAATCTTTTTATATTACACATATTATCTGCATTTTTCCCGTTAAACTGCAAAACTTGTGCATTTCACTCGTTATTACAAAAAAGTTTTCCTAAGTATGATATAGCATTTGCGATCAACAAGATGTTGGTTCTGAATACGACCCTGGCCAATTCTTGGGATTTTCAATATCACGTGCGTAGGGCATGTCAATGTTTACATCTACTCTATCTTGGATTTGAATTAGCTTTAGTGAAAAGACAATGCAATATTTTTGAATTTTTGCTCTCTTATGAAACATTTTTCAATGCATTATTAATTCATCTGAAATTCTGACTTCAATAAAAACAATGTTCAATAGCTCCAATAAGTTTTCTGTATCTATTCGAAATGATGGTTTCATAGCCCGTAGTTTCATGATGGGCATGCGCATGTTTTATACGCATGTAGATAAATGATGAATTACTCATCAGCGTGAGATTATGAAAGAAAATTGGTATACATACAAAAAACCATTGATACAAATTTTCTCACACGTGTCAATAATATGACTACGCCTCAATATTCGAATCGTCAGGGAAAATCGAACTGACTATTTTCTTCCAATATTATTGCAATCAATGTGAATGCCACAATAATATTGACCGTGTGAGGCCTGCCTAACTTTATGCAATCATTCGTTTGAGCTATCTCTAGAGACACCACATACCTTTATAGTGCGGAAACTCATCTTTATACATGTGGTAAGTTGCGGCGTGGCACTTTGCAATCAAATAAGCACACAAATAGTTCGCTATACCGCTTCCTTTGATTCCTGGTGCAAAATCTCCCGCTCCATAGCCTCTGACACAGACTTGTTTTGGCTCGTTTATGGTAATCCAATATCCAACATCTTTGAAATTCTTTATCACTATCCTGGCGTAGTTAACGAAATGATTTACGAGTAAGGGGTTGGTCCATCCCCCGATATCTTGAAGGGATTGAGGCAGATCCCAGTGGTAAATGGTCGCTACGGGTATCATCTTGTGTTTGAGGATTTCTTCTATGAGGTTTTGATAGTACAGGATTCCTTTTTGGTTGACGTAGTTGTCGTAGCCAGAGGGCAGAATTCTGAAATTTAAACAATGATGATACTGAACAGAAGTGATTTTTTGTGGGCTAACTCGGGCTGATTTTAAAACAGCTCAATATCAGCAGGTGTGCAAATGGACTAGCACCAGTATTTTGCAGACTTTTCAACCTGTCTTACAAGGAAGGGTTTGTTTTCTTGTTGGAAGATAGCTGGCGTACAGCCTATTCTCAAAGAGGTCAAGAAATATCTTTGAAATAACTAATGACGAATGGCTCTGCTATCAGCGATATCAAAAATCATGAAAAAAGCTGTAAACCACCATATCCTTGAATATTTGGAAGGCTTCAACATCTTGAACGATCATCAATATGGCTTTTGAAAACAATGATAAACAGGCGATTTTGTATCATATGTCGCCTATATTTGGAATAACGCAATCGAGTCAAGAGGGTCAAGAGTGTTACGTTGGGGGTCCTCAGGGATCTATATTGTATCCAACCCTCTTTTTATTGTATATCAACGACTTATTGGAATTGCAAAAGCCGCTTCTCAAAAGCTTGAAACACTGTTCCGAACCAGAAAACTGAACACACCTCAGCAACTTTTGATGCTTTATAATGCTTAAATCAGATCTTCTATGGAGTATTGTTCTCATGTATGGAGCTCCGTCTCTAAGCTTACCCTGAAGCTGCTGGATTACATCCAGAAAAAAGCCATCTGCCTGATTGGAGACGCGAACATCACTTGCAACCTTGATAGTCTGGAACCTCGAAGAAAGGTTGGACATTTGTCTCTCTTCCATAGATACTTCGTGAAAGTATCTATGGAAGAGAGACACACATTCAGTTTCACCAAGATTGGTACGGACTGTGGCTGTTCATTCAGGTTCAGGTTCAACTCAGTACATCTCGAACTTCACTGTTTAAGAACTCTTTCATTTAGAGAACTGCGTGTATGTGGAATAAACGTCCTGAAAACGTGTTTCCAAATGAAAGTATTCTCCAGCGATTCAAATTCAATGTGAATCTCTACTTTTGCACAGGCACCGCTCGTAGAGCGCCTTAAGTATTTTCCTGTAGCGCTTGTGTTTCATCCTTAAAAAACAATCTGGAAAAAATGTGTAATAGAATTTTGACAGGACCATTTGAAAAGATGAAAAAATCTGAAAATGGGTGTAACATAAGTACGGTAAAATATTCAAGTGACGTATTTTTGAGACAATTTTAAGAAAAAAAGTCTATATGAACTTGTGTCCGAAAATGCTTCGTTTCGGAGATACGGGGTGTTGGAATTGAATTTTTTTGTTCGCTTTTTGAAAGTAACTCTTGCAAAAATAAGTTATTTGCACGAAATTCGGTA